TTTTCATCATTACGAGCTAAAAATCGAACGGGCACTAAGGGCTCGAAATCATTCTGTTGATACCGACACGCAAAAACCACAACTAAAAACGAAACGCCCACTCACCGGACAGGAGTCCTCGAATTAAATAAACAAAAATAGCACCAACAACAACTAAAACAACTAAAACAACTTAAACAACAACAATAACAACATTTAAAGTTAATAGTCACAAAATAATTACGCTGATGAATTCATTTGTTGTTCCTTCATTTGTTGCTGGTACTGTTTTTGCTTTTGTTGCTTTTGTTGCTTTTGTTGCTAGTGTCGGAGCAACATGCTCACAAAGCAAGTCAACCTAAACATTTGCTAAAACTTTAATGGATCTTTGTATTTTTGTCAGGTGTCAATACAGACTGGACCCCGGCACTCACCTACTAATTCCGCTGTGAAAGTGAATTGAATAAATTTATAAATGGTCTTGATTTCGTAAGGAGAAAGTGTCACAATGGAAAATTTTATTCAATTCCATTTGTTGAAACGTCTGTGAGTAAGTTGTCTTAGATATTCCTTAAATCATGCAAGTAATTGTTTTTATATTCAAGTCATATTAAATTTGCGACGTTATATGAAGTTTTGGATAACGAAAGCACAAGGTATAGATACTGTATAATATAATGAAGGCATGGTTTACTGACTCCTTTTTAAGACCTTTAAATTTTCTATAACGCCAATGCTAAATACTTTTCCATAGGTTTTCACCTATTGCATCTTTAATGTCTTCTGTTACGGAACACTTATTTTCTGCTCCTGGACATCGTATAATAATATTTATTTATTTGTAATTTTTTTATTTTACATTCTTGTACGATAAATAATAAATAATAGTCTTCGAATTACTTTTTTTCCTGAAATAGACACTCTGAGATGATACATACCGGAAAATTATTGTAAACCGCGAAAAGGCTGAACATTAATTGAAAAGTGTCCATCTCCGATTAATGGAATAAATTTAGCTTCCTATGGAAAATGGCCTTTACATATGTAATGTAAATGTAATTTCATTAAATAAATTCATAAGCTTACAAATCAGTAAATTGCTGGTAATCTCGTCCCTCATTGACGACTACAAACCTATTTTAGCTTATATAGAGACTCATCTTATTTGAACGTTTAATAACTATATTTATGTTAAATTATTACCGAGGATTTGCTAATAAATTTGATTAGTACTTACTTTAAATATTTGGTTTTTTACAATTCACACATCGTTTTTATTTTTCAAAATTTCATGACTTTTGGACGTATTTTTAAAAAATTAATGGATTCCGTACTCACATCAAACTCCTACCAAAACTGTCAGAAATGAGATTGACAATATATTAATTAACAAAATACTCACTTCTGAAGGCCACGTCTAAATCTTCTGTTTCTGAAGTTTAGAACTACTATTTCGAGTAAGGCAAATAGTGGACATAAAAAAAATTTGTTAATAGTTGTGTTGCAATTACTACTGGCGTTAGAAGTACAAACGTCCAGGCAAATATAAGTAAAAGGACGAGTTCAAAAACGAGTTCAAAAACAAGTTTAAAAAGTGGTTTAAGATAAAGCAAAGGTTTGAAATCAGATATATATGGCTGTGTTATGGTTGAATTAGTACAAAAGTTTTTTGCCTGATGACATAAATATTACTTATGTCTATATCTTTCTCTCCACAAAAGTTAAAATAAACAAGAAACATATCAAAGTGGATAGGGGCACATGGACCTGGCATTGAACCCGAGTTAAAATATTAGTTCCTCATTAATTCCTTAAATATGAAATTCTGCGTGATTTCTAATCCAAATTAATAGTTAGCTCATAATTGGATATATATTGGCAGTATGCTGCATTAACAACTAATGAGTCTAAAATCTTTCTGGCTCAATGACTATAATATTATTCTTATCAATATTAATCAATTTGTTAACATTATATACTATCTGTATGCAGATAGTAGGTATATGTATGCATGTGTGGCAGACTTCTTCTGGCTGAGTAGCGCGTTGCTGCTATTTTGTTACTACATACCCGGTTATAAGGTTCGAAGTTTTAAAGGAATCTGCACTGATGTTAAAGGAAATAATTATTGGAAGATCTGTGTTTCCGTAGAGGAATGCCGTAAACTCAATCTTAAATATTGAAACCACAATATTTTCTTCCGTATGCATTACTTTTCTTAACTGTGCACTGGTACAAATCATTTTTTTTATTATTATTTCATATTTGTTTTTTTTCTTTTATTTTCTTCGAACACGTTCTCATAGTAGACATGGATTAGTGCTTTATTCTCATCAAAGGCGTTGGTAATGCTAAGCCCATGATTGATGATGTGTCTGTATTTTGTTTTTAATTCCGGTTTCTTTGTACATTGAATGTTAATAGTATCTATTTTTAGTTAATGTTTATATTATATTATTTATATATATAAGCAGGTACATATAATTAATAAATAAACTCAATTTCATATTCATATTATATCATATGTATGTGCATGGAATACTGAAGTTTACCTCGAATTATATATTTATCCAAAGCTGTTGGCATAAAACACGATTATTGATTATAAATTATTTAAATTAATGTGTAAAAATGATATAAAGTAATTGAATTTAAAGTTTTCATTTTTGAACTAA